CCCCTCTAACAAAGCCACAAAGATCAAACTAACAAACAAAATAATACAAAAACCGAAACAAACAAAAAACCAACACAACAAAACAATATACAGCCAAACCTGCTCTGACGGCCACCTCTATAAGACGACAACCTGTCTTATACGGCCACTTTTCTCCTTGACAATGGGAGGCCGTCTTACACAGGTTGCACTCTACTTTCCGCCGAAGGAAAACATCCCCCCCCCAAAAAAAAGCAAAAAAACAAAAAACCCCACAAAAACCCCCTAACAAAAAACACAAAAAAACACACAAAAAACCCCTAACAAAAAACAAAAACAAAACAAACAACAACCCCAGTAAAAAAAAGGAGAAAAAACCGACAAAGACAACCCCACCCAACTACGATGGGGTATTTCCAGGAAGTCAAATCTCGGAGAGCGGTAGATTCTGTTGAAGTGTTGTATCGCGATGGCATTGACTGTTGTACTCTCTAATCAAAAGTTCGTTCCGGACTTGTTGTGAGAAACACGGATGTTCTCTTTCATGACCAGTAAGTACTAGTTTCTAACGAGCAGGTCATGTCATCCATAGGTGGCAATTTACCGAGAATCAATAAGGTGAACGGTTCAGCTCACTGTTAAAAACCTGTTCTTTTCCTTGCTCATAATTGATCCTTTTCTTCATTCTAAATCTCCGACATACAGCAACCGATTTGTTTTCTGTCTCATCACCCCTCTCACCCCCTCTCTAACTCATCCACTCTCTTCGTGATGCACTATCTCACTTCGTCACTCACTCCGCCTTTCCTTCCTTCTCTCCCCAAATTGTGCCCACAACCCCCCCCCCCATGTCCCATTATCGTTGTCATTACTCTTATCATCATCCCGATCAGCGCTGAATTAACCGCAACACAGCAGCGAAGACCACCAATATTGTTGCCAATACTACCGCCACTACCGCTTTCCACTCACAAGTTGAACTGCCTTTGCCCAACTCACCCACAACCTAGCGGATTTTTGTCGCCTCGCGTGCGGTGGTACCACGCGCGCACATTCAAACAACGCTAGCTAGCATCTCTCGCCACTCTCCGCAGAATGAGTACACATTGGCCCGTGGACATATGCACGAGGATTTCATCGCTTCTGGGTTTCATTACGCCTCGGGTTATAATACAACTTTTTATTATTGCTTGCCGTGTGTTCTCGGGAGGATTTATACACAGGTGAATTCAGCTCTTAATTACCAGCTCAGAGAAGGACTAACATCTCCTACCCCGCGCTTGTCGCAAGAGGTTTGGACATTCTTCAGTGTTGTTAAGCTTCTGGGATCGATTTGTTTTGTGTGTGTGCTTGTGTTGACATTTTGTTACCGGAATTCTGAACGTTTTACTGGTCTTGTATTGATGATTGTTGTAACTTGTAGGACCCTTTGTTCGTAGCGGAGAACATTGCCGCTATGTGGTCTCCTGTCTTATGCCGCTATGTGTTCTGTCTTGTTGTTGACAAGCTCTCCGGGTCTCTCATCGACTGTCGCCGAGTCGGAAGAAACAGTTCGTCGTGTTGATTATAGTAATAGGCTTTGTTTACTTGGTAGAAATTTATCTCGTTATGATGAGGCGAGTTGTCAGAGGCGGCAACCTTTCAAATCTGCATGTTTTAATCACATTTGCTGGATTTATGGTAGAGAACGGTTAATTACGGTTAGCATTTACTCTAACCCTGGCTGGATCCAGGTAATAAAGTAAGGGGTAGGATAAGTTCTGGAAAAAGTGGACCCTACCCCTTACCTAATTACACGAATCCTGTTAGGTTATCTTAACCAGAACCCTAGCCCCAGCCCTAACCCTAACCATGACTCTACTCTACCCCCAACCATTACCCCAGCCCCAGCCCTAACCCTAACCATGACTCTACCCTAAACCTAACCATTACCATATTCCCCAAATTGAGCAACTGTGAAAACAGCAACAAAACATGTACATCTGGAAGAATGCCACTAGTGTTCCCACAGTTCTCGCCATTAGTCCAGTCCATCCATACCTTGTCATTCCACAGAAAATACTGCCGACTACATACACGTTCTGTAATACTGTGTGTGATCAGTGATAGCAGGAAGAGTAAACACTTGAGGAGTCGAGCAGACAGAGTTGGGTGGGGAGGGGTGGGGAGGGGGTTCACTTATTGATGTGCACTTTTTTCTCTAGGCTTATTTGTACAATAGTGCTGTTGAGAATCGACGTTTTGCACCTGCGTCCAGGTACATATCATAACAGCTGTCAATTGATAATGTGGCTAAACGTTCTCTTTCTTTACACTTTCGTGCGCTCATTTACTCATACACAAACACAGACACACAAGCACGTACGAACACACACACAAACACACACATGCACATGTACCTTACACGCATTTCATTCACCCAACCAACCAAGCTTACTCAATATACGCACCCGCACACCCCCCCTCCCCCATACACACACTCACTCACTCACTCATACACATACACATATTATACACTATCTCGCTCTCCTTCTCTTTTTCTCTCTTTTTTGTACTCACAGGCACGTGCACACACGCGCATACACAACAAACTCACAAACACAAACTTAGGCATTCTCCCATGTGTTGAAAAAAGAGAAGAGGAGGCGACACTCAGATTAAAAGATAAACACACAGACGTGAATCTTCACAACAATGAGTATGTATGTAGACAGATAGGGTGATTGTTGAGAGAGAGAGAGAAAGAGAGAGA